GCAGACAGACTTTGTGCGGCGTAATTCTCAACCTCCTTAGCCTCCCCACATAGTGTGGCTCCTTTTCCACCATCGCCTCTCTGTTCGACCCAACAGAAAAGAATTTCGGTTTCGCCACTTCTCTGGGTCTTTCTTCATTTCCTTAGAGGGCGCCCTGGTCAGGTAAAACTTGTGGGAAATAAATGTGTATGGTTCCCTCCTGTGAGTCTGTTTCATGTCCATTTAATTCTCAGGACCAGCCGTCAGCTCTAAGAGGGTGGAGGTCAGGTTCGGTCTCGGCCACATCTTCCCTGCCGGCATCTTTGAATTCTACCTCCTTCCTTGGCTTGAGTCCTCAGCATGCTGACACGCTCTCAGCGACCATCTTCAGAAGCGCTGTGAACATGGGCTGTGTCTTTCAAAATGAAACACGTTCTTACCATACGATCCAGTCCTCAAGCTCCTTGGTATCAATGGACCCAAATGAGTCGAATGCTTCCATCTACACAGAAACCTGCGCCCGGACGTTTACGGCAGCTTTATTCATAACTGCCAGAACTTGGAAGCAACCAACATGTCCTTCGGGAGGTGATTGGACAGATAGACGGGGCTCCATCCATGCAGCAGAATGTTCTTCGCACTGAAAAGAAATGAGAGAGAGAGAAGGAGCCATAGGAGACGGGAGGTGCACCTTAAGTGCATGTCAGTCACTGAAAGAAGCCAGACAGGAAAGGTGGCATAGCTTAGGGTACCAACTACATATGACATTCGGGAAAAGGCAAACCACGGAAAGGGTGGGTTGCTAGGGGTTCGTGGCGGGGTTAAGGGGTGGGGTATGATAAATAGGTTGAGCACAGAGGATTTTTAAGGCAGTGAAACTATTCAGTGTGATACATTCATGGCAAGATACATTTGTCAAAACCCATAGACTGTGCAACACCAGGAGTGAGCCATAGTGTAAACTCTGGACTCTGGTGATCATGATGTGTCCATGCAGATTCAGCGATAGTGACCAACACCCAGAATGTTGATAGGATAGTTGGGGAGAGGGAAACTCTGAGCACCTGTGTGGGTGGGCGGAGGGGGTGGATGGAGAGAGCAGTAACAGCAGAGCAGGGGCACGTGGCACCTCTCTGTACTCTGCCCAATTTTGCTGTGAACTCAAAACTTCTTTAAAAAATAATAAACCCCATTTAAACAAAGAAACAAATGAACATTCCAGTAGCATCGCATGGCTGCTTCTCTTCAAGTTCTGTTCGTCTGGGCCACTTGAGAGTCAAACTTCAGCAGACACTTTCACAGATGGCCTTTCAACCCGCATCCTTTCATAGTTTCATCTGACATCCGCTCTTTATCTCACTACACTCTTTTTTTTTTTTTTTGGCCGAGCTGCACAACTTGCAGGATCTTAGTTCCCTGACCAGGGATCGAATCCGCTCCCTCGGCAGTGAAAACGCGGAGTCCTAACTACTGGACCACTGGGGAGTTCCCCAACACTCTTTTTTTTTTTAAGATAGTACCTTTTCTTCTTTTTAAAAATCGGTGTATACTTGATGGGCAATTATTATATATTAGTTTTCTGGTATACAACATAGTGACTTGATATTTTTATACACTACAAAATAATCACCAAGATAAGTCTAGTTACCATTTGTCACCATACTGTGTTATTACAGTATCATGGACTCTATTCCCTATACTGTACATCACACCCCATGACGTTTGTTTTATAACTGGAATTTGGAACCTTTCACTCTTTCTCACCTATTGCACTCAACCCTCCACCCACCCACCTAGCAACCACCAGCATGTTCTTGGCATCCATGAGTCCATTTCTGTTTTGTTGTGTTTCTTCATTTGTTTTGTTTTATAGATTCTACATATAAATGACATCATAAGGTAATTCTCTTTCTCTGTCTGCTATATCTCATTTAGCATAATGCCCTCTAGGTCCATTCATGTTCTTGCAAGATTTCATCTTTTTTTTTTAATTAATTAATTTGTTTTTATTTTTGGCTGTGGTGGGTCTTTGTTTCTGCACACGGGCTTTCTCTAGTTGTGGCGAGCAGGGGCTACTCTTCGTTGCGGTGCGCGGGCTTCTCATTGTGGTGGCTTCTCCCGTCATGGAGCACAGGCTCTAGGCGCATGGGCTTCAGTAGTTGTGGCACATGGGCTCAGTAGTTATGGCTTGCAGGCTCTAGAGCGCAGGCTCAGTACTTGTGGCGCACGGGCTTAGTTGCTCTGTGGCATGTGGTATCTCCCTGTGCCAGGGATCGAACCGTGTCCCCTGCATTGGCAGGCAGATACTTAACCACTGTGCCACCAGGGAAGCCCAAGATTTCATTCTTCTTTTATGGCTGAGTCATGTTCCAGTGTGCGTGTGTGTGTGTCCAGTTTTCACATATATATATGAAACCTTCTTTATCCATTTGTCTATTGATGGATAGTTTGGTGGCCTCCATATCTTGACTATTGTCAATAAAGGCTTCATGAACATAAGGGTGCGTATATATTTTTGAAGTTGTGTTTTTGTTTCCTTCAGAAAGATACCCCCAAGTATAATTCCTGCATCATATGGTAGGTCTATTTTTAATTTCTTGAGGAACCTCCATACTGTTTTCCATAGTGGCTGTACCAATGAACATTCCCAACAAAAGTGAGTGAGAGTTCCCTTTTCTCCACGTCCTTGGCAATACTTATTATGTGTTGTCTTTTGGATGATAGCCATTCTTTCAGGTGTGAGGTGATACTCTCATTGTGGTTTGAACGTGCATTTCCCTGATGATGAGTGATGTTGACCATCTTTTCATGTGTCTTTTGGCCATCTGTATATATTCTTTGGAAACATGTTCTGTCCTCTGCCAATATTTTAATTGGGTTTTTGTTTTTTTGGAGGTTGACTTGTGTGAATGAGTTCTTGGTCTATTTTGTGTATGAACCACTTACCAGATATATTGTTTGCAAATATTTCTCACATTCAGAAGGCTGCCTTTTCTTTTGTGGATGGTTTCCTCTGCTGCTGGAAAGCCTTTCAGTTGGATGGAGTCCCATTGGTTTATTTTGCTTGAGGAGGCAGATCCAAAAAGTATTGCTAAGACTGATGTCAAAGAGTGTACTGCCTATGTTTTCTTCTAGGAGTTTTATGGCTTCAGGTCTTACATTGAAGTATTTGATTCATTTTGAGGTTATTTTGTAGATGGTATAAGAAAAGATTCCAGTTTCATTCTCGTACATGTAGCTGTCCAGTTTTCTCAACACTATTTATCGAAGAGGCTGTATTTTCCCCATTGTATATTCTCACCTCCTTTGTCATAGATAAATTGACTGTATAAGTGTGGGTTTGTTTCTGGGCTCTCAATTCTATTCCATGGCTCTATGCATATTTCCTCTGTGCCAATACCATACTGTCTTAATGATTCTAGTTTGAAATAGTTTGAAATCAGGGAGCGTGATATGTCCAGGTTTGTGCTTCTTTCTTAAGTTTGTATTGACTATACATGTTCTTTTGTGTTTCTATACACATTTTAGAATTCTTTGTTCTAGTTCTCCAAAAAAATTCCATTGGTATTTTGATAGAAATGGCATCCAATCTCTAGGTTGCCTTGGGGTGTGGAATCATTTTAACAATATGGATTCTTTTAATCCATGAGCATGGTATATATTTCCATTTGTTCGTGTCATCTTCATTTCTTTCATCAATGTCTTCCAGTTTTCTGAGTATAGGTCTTTTACCTCCTGGGTTAGGTGTATTCCTAGGTATTTTATCTTTGTTAATGTCATTGCTCATGGGGTTGTTTCCTTAATTTCTCATTCTGACAGTTTGTTGTGAGTGCACAGAAATGCAACCAATTTCTGTAGATTAATTTTTGTATCCTGCAACTTTACTGAACTTTCTGATGAGTTCTATCTGGTTTTGGGTGTCATCTTCAAGATCTTCTGTATAGAGTATCATGTCATCTACAAACAGTGACAGTTTTACTTTTTCCTCTGCCATGAGATTCCTTTTATTTCTTTTTAAAATCTGATTACTATGGCTAGGACTTCTTAGACCATGTTGAATGAAAGTGGTGAGAATGGTCAAGGGTTAGAGTTAGGTTTAAGCATAACTGGCCCTCTTCCCCTTCCTCCTTCTCCATCTCTCTGAGGCCTCCAGGAAGGACAGGGGTAGTCCACGGTCACAAATGGCTCAGAAAGTTGAGCTGGACCATTGTTTTTCTGTCCCCTAGTCCTGGGCATAGTTCTGTGTACTGTCTGTGTATCTTCTTTGGCCAGGTGTCCAGTCAGATCGTTCCCTATTTTTCATGGGGTTGTTTGTGTTAGCATTCTTCGTATGTTTTGAGACAAATTCTTCATCAGATGTGTGTTTGCAAATATTTTTCTCCCAGTTTGTAACTTGTCTTTTGATTTTCTGAATAAGGTCTTTCATGGAGTAGATATCTTCAATTTTATAAAGTCCACAGTATTCCTTGTTTTTCTTTGTAGATTGCCTTTTTGTGTTGTGTGTTAAAACTCCAAAGCTCATGATCTACATGACCAAACTCAAACTCACTGTCAATTGTCTTCTACGTTTGCTTCCATAATTTTGAGGTGGGGACTGTCTTTCCCCTCGGCGTGTCCTTGGCCCCTTTGTCATAAATTAACTGACCCCAGCCGTGCGTGTTGAATTGTGGGCTCTCTGTCCGGTTCCTCTGGTCCCTGCGCCTGTTTTTGTTCCAATTCCACGCTGTTTCAGCGACTGTAGCTTTTCAACAGTGTGTGAAGTCAAGTAGGGAGACGCCTCCAGCCTCTTCTCCTTTCTCAGTTGATTGTTCCCTGTTTTCCGAAAACTTTGGGGATATTTGTCTCCATTTCAGTTTGAATTTCCACGGTTTAACAGATTCAGAAGTTCCGCCAGCAGGGGGCGCTGTCTCCAGTAACCGACCACTTCCCGCACCGACCACAGGGTGGCGCTGAGCCCGCCTCTCTGACCCCCACAGCGCATGCGCGTTCCCCGCGGACTCGGCTCTGAGCGCAGCTGAGGGGAGTTGTGTGTCCTCAGGCACTGCCGGGGCTGCGGCTGGGACGCTGGGCTCAGCGTCTGTGCTGACAGGAGCTCGGTCTCCTCAGGACTCGCTGGGGTTTCGGCTTCAGGACAACGTGGGGCTGCGTCCACGCTGACGGGAGCTGGGTTTCCTGAGGACGCAGGCGACGCCGGCGGAAAAGGTGAGGAGACAGTGAGGAAAAGTGGGGAGAAGCTTCCTGGGGGCGACGGACGGCTGCGGGGGTCCGTCTTCATGCGGGCCGGAAGGGCTTGGCGTGCAAAGCTGGGTTTTTGGTCAGGCTGGTGCGCGGTGGAGCCGCGTGGGTTACGGGGTGTGCCGTCTTCCCCGCACCGTTTACCGCGGGGCTGCCTTTCCGCTCGGTGTGTCCCTGGCCCCCTTGTAACTGAGCGGCCCCCCCCCCCCCCCCACCGTGCGGGGTGGGTTCTGGGCTCTCCGTCCCGTCCCTCTGGGCTGTGCGCCTGTTATGAGCCAGTTCCGCACTGTTTTGGGGACTGTAGCTTCGTGATGAAGTGTGAAGTCAGGGCGGGAGATGCCTGCGGCCCGTTCTCCTTCCTCCGGGTCGCCTTGGCTCTTCGGGCTCCTTTGTGGCTCCACGCGCGTCTTAGGAGGATTTGCTCTGTTTCTGTGGAAAATGCCATGGCCTTTCGGGAGGGCCTGCGCTCACTGTGTGCACCGCTCTGGGTAGAAGGCATACTCTAACAATGTTAATTCTTCGTTCCATGAGAACAGGGTAATCTTTCCATTTCTTGGTGTGTCTTTTTCAATTTCTCCATCGATGTCTTAAAGTTTGCAGTGTGCAGGTCTTTCACTTCCTTGGTTAACTTTATTCCCAGGTATTTTGTTCTTTATGGTGCAATTGTAAATAGGGTTGCTTGCTTTCTTTTTCTGATGGTTCATTATTAGTGTTTAGAAATGCAACTGATTTCTGTGTATTGATTTTGCAACTTTACTGAATTCATTTATTAGTTCTAATAGTTTTTTTGTGGAATGAAGTGGAAAATTGGACTTCCAAAATCCCACTGTTTCTACCGTATCCAGGTCGTCCACAACACGGAGGACAGTGGCCCCTAATATAACCTTCCCCCAGTGCCTCTAAATGACACGTGGACTTCGGGTGAACTGGATCTGGGTAGGGCTCGGCTGCTCTATGGAAGCTTGATGTTTTCTCTGCTTTTCTGGCGTGCTATTGACATACATGATGTTTTGAAAAGTAATTTACTTTCCAGTAATTTCAAACATACAAATTTACACACATAAAACAAGTCTTGTATCTTCACTAAATATATTCCTAAATATTGACATTGACATTATTTACAGTGAAATTGTTATCATAAATGCTTTTTCAGGTTATTTATTGCTAGTGTATACATATAAGATAGATTTTTGTGAATTGACATTTTGCTCTATAACTTTGCTGCATTAGTTAGTTGACTAGGTCAAATAATTTTTTGTTCATTATAGGTAGTTTTATATATAAAATGATGTGATCTGTGTTCTGTGAAGAGACAGTTTGAATTTTTCCATTCACACATGGATGCCTCCTATTTCTTTCCTCAAGATTCTGGGTAGGACTTCCGGCATCCTATTGAGTAACAATGATGAAGACCAGCTTCCTGGCCTCGTTCCTGATTTCAGGAGTAAATCTTTGTCTTTAACATTGAGCATGATGTTTGCTGTGGCTTTTTGTACTACTCTTTTCCATATTCAACAAATTTCCTTTTATTCCTGCTTTCTTGAGTGTTTGTATCATGAAATAACACTGGTTTTTTATTGTAGTTTTTTCTGCATTAATTGATATGATCGTGTGTTTTACTTCACACTTTTATTGTGGTTTATTACATTGCTTAATTTTAATATGTTGAACAACCTGAAATTTCTGGTGTAGAGATACTTGCTTATGGCATTATCCATTTAATGTTCTTTTCGTTTCCTGTTGCTATTATTTTGTGATAGATTTTTATATTCATCTTTATAAGGTATACTGGGGTATTCTTTTTTATGATGTATTTGTATAATTTGGTTAGATTCGGCTTGGTGTAAGTGGTGTGGAGGGTTAGCGTTAGGGCTGGGGCTCTGTATGGTTTATGGTTGCCGTTAAGGTTTACGTCTTATGGTTATGTTCACAGTTATGACTTATGTATGTGTATGGTTAATGAATACATTTTATGGTTTATGGTTTTGGTTATGGTTGTGGTTTTGTTTATTCCTTAAGGTTTATGGTTTTGGTCTCAGGGTGTTAGGGTCCTGCGTTAGAGTGGGTGTTAGGACATGGGCTAGAATTAGGGTACAGGTAGGATACGGGTAGAGTATGGGTTAGGGTAAGGTACAGGTTTAGGGTACGGGTTAGGGCTAAGGTTAGCTCAGGGCTTAGGGTCAGGATCAGAGTTTAGGGTGAGGATCCGTGTCGGGGTTAGCGTCAAGGCTGAGCTCGGCCGTTGTTTTCTGCTCCTCCAGCCCTGAGCCCTGATAGAAGATGAATGAAGTGTCTGCTCTGGTCCCTCACTGTTTCAAATTGAACTCAACATCAGTCCAGTGTTCTTAGGGCCTCAGAGGTCATACAGGGTTTCCCTACACCCTCCCTCCTGGGTAGGGAGCCGGAAGGGCTTGGCGTGCAAAGCTGGGTTTGCACTTCTTGAAGTTGTCTCCCACTCACGGGCCAGATAAAATGATTAGAAAACAAGCCAGAGCTGCAGCCCCTTGTCTATCCTGACCCTCACGACCCCACACCTGTTCCTTGGACCTGGCCGGTGCAGCAAGGCCCATTTTCTGTAGCTATGAGCCCCTGAGGGGCGAGGATTGGCTGACCTGGGCAGCCTGACCCGGCCGGCCAGCCCTTCCCAGGTGTGCCTGGGTTGAGGTCAATATGAACACCGCTCCAGGCAGCAAGAGCCCCTGCAGCTGTTCCTGACGCCATATTCTCTGCCCCGTCAGCAGTCTCGGGGCTGGGCTGGTGGGAGGGAGTGAGAGGCCATGGCTTTGTGGGTGGCCCAGTGTGAGTGGGGCTCTGCTGGACTTTCTGCAGGAGTTGCCAGGCTGCCACCTGCTAAAGAAGAGGATGTGTCACCCATACCGGCCACTGGAATTTCTCCCCGGGCAGATGTGAGGAAGGAAAAAAGCAGTGGGGGCCGGGACAGGAGGGGTGCCTCAGGCAGGGAAATGGAAAGCTTCCAGAAGAGCGCCCGGGGCCAGGACCATCTCGGCTGGCCTGCAGGCACCAACTTGGCCTGCGTGCTGTGGCTGGTGTGACTCCAAGCGCTTTCCTCTAGGCTTTCCAGTCCTTGCACAAGTTTTACCTGGGAAGGGTGGGAACAGTTCAGCAGCAGCTGGCCTGGGGCTCAGCTCACGTTTACTCACAGACGCCTCAGCACCGTCCCCCAGCTTTGCAATGAGGACGCTCCTTGCGGGGGGGCTGCTGGCTGCATGGGAGACGATTCCCCACCTCTGACCAACTTCAGAATTCTTTACCACTGGAGCAGGTGTCCTGATAGGGTTTTCATCTGTGTAACTAGTGGGTTCTTAATTAGCAATGTGAACGGTGACATCAGAAGTCCTGAATTAGGGTGGAAATACTTATCCCCAACAGGTACAGGTGTAAAAACCTGGGGAGGCCATGTGCAGTCAGTACCCTTGGGGATGGGCTTCCGAATTGACCCCTCAACATTCTGGTGTCCAGCCACTGCTTTAGGACTTCTGGGGCTCAGTGCTGACTCTTAAGGGTTCTGTAATCCAGCCCCTAATCTGCTTTTAGTGAGACCCGCACTTCCGGGATCCTACAGAGCAGGGTCTGTGTGACCGTTCTGTGGCTTCTGTAACAAATGACCACAAGGTGGGTGGTTTAAAACAACAGGAATTCATCCTCCCCCAGTCCTGGAGACCAGACATCTGAGGTCAAGGTGTTGCAGGACAGAAGTCCCTCCAGAGGCTCCAGGATAGGGTTCTTCCTGCCTTTTCCAGCTTCTGGGGTCTCCAGGCGTCCCCAGGCTTGCGGCTGCATCCCTCCCGTCTCTGCCTCTGTCTTCACGTGGCTTCTCCTCTGTGTCTGAGTCTCTCCTGTTTTGTCTCTCATAAGGACTCTCTCAATTGGATTGAGGGCCACCCTAACCCAGGATGACCTCACTTCGAGATCCTTAAGTACATATAGAAAGACCCTTTTCCCAGATATGGTCCTGTTCACGTGTTCTGGGCGGGGGGGCACATCTTTTGGGGCCAGCATTCAACCCATTGCCTGTGTATAAAATAACCCTCATTTTAGGAGATTACCAAGGTCCCGTATGGACTGGCACAGACAGCAGCTATGTGGGTGGGGTCTGGGCAGAGTGAGGACCCTGGAATCACCTGGAAAGGATGAGTCCTGGCTGCATTAGGTGAACTCTTCCACCACGGGGCACGTGGAAACAGCCACTCCACTCTGTCCGTGGAAAGTGCCGAGTCCAGAAATGGTTATATTGCAAAGCTGGCTCTCCTGGGATTTCATCATCAATAGCATCATGTAACCAATAACTACAGGCTTGGAGGAGTCACTCTCTGGCACATGATGACAGCACTGTCTCTTTAGGCTCATCCAGCCTAGAATAGGAATGTTTGAAGGAGAAGAGTTTGGGAGATTGCGAAGCTTGGTTGTCAAGGAAACTGAGAAGGTTTGTCAAGGAAACTTCTCCCTTAAACTGAAGGCAGGGCTGGGAGAGCTGAACTCCTGGGATCTTTTAAAGGGGCTGCTCTGAAGCACCATCACCCGAGAGGTGGTGTCAGCATGAGCTGGGGTTTGAGAAAAGTGTGATGAGATGAAGCCTGACTTTCTGTGACAGCTGGGGAGGGGTTTGTAAAGCACCTTGGCTTTTAAGGCAAAGTTTGTTGCTGAAACAAAGTGTCTCCCAAAACTGGGCTGAAGCTCAAGATGTCTCTGTCCCCTTCTTGCGAGAGTCCAGGGCAGGTGGGTGTGGGGGCCCAGGCTCTGTCCCCCTGGTTTCTCCTTCCTGCTTCCAGGTGAGGGCTCCAACAAGCAGGGTGGGGTGACCAGGTGGGCATCATGCCCTCCGTCCTAGGATGCAGGCTGGCCAAGGCCCTCACCACCTCCACCCATTTCCCTTGGTAACACGAGGCACTACGCCCCAGCTGGGAAGGCTGGGAGGTGCAGGGTAGCTGTGAACAGGAAAAAGGGAA